ATTTCTGGAGAAGGATAATAGGTAATATACCATGAAAATGAATAATATATTCAGTAAGTATTTAGTTAGTAGTGCTGACAAAAATGTTGCAAGGATAAAAGGTAAATCCATAGTAAGAGTCTATTTTTTTAAGAAAGGAATCTTACTGCAATGGTGTTAGATCGGTGTCAAAGAAGGGAAACTTATGTTATTGAACCCAGACATAATATTTATGGATACTTTGTTGATAAACCAATTAACTAATCACAGGGTAGCTTGGGAAAGAGGCTAAGTGACTACCTGGAATAGGCCATATTATATACCTGAGTACTGAGAGCCTCCATTTGGTGGGCATTTGTATGAGACATAACCTTACAACCCATGCTCACTTCAATCGCTTGTTCTGTATACTTCTTCCCCAGACCCTACACAGCCCTCCAATATTGGTCCATTAGCCTTTGGTAATTAATCATTATATACCCATATCTTTGGTAATCTCTCACAAAAAACTACACAACCAGATGTACTCGTCAATTTGCTGTCCACCAGAAAGACTTCCTTCTCCTGATGCCCCTCTGAGCCACTCCTGTCTTCTTTTGGTTGGTGTCATTACATCCCATCAAACCACTCAGCATGTCATGAGGAATTCTTCAAGAGGCCTTAGGTGTGGATAGAGGGAGAGGCGATGATACAGCAAGAATAGATGTAATAGGAGTATAAGCTTATTTGGAAACTCACCCATAATTTCAGGGTCTACTTAAGTCTTGTCATATATAACCAATTCCACTATAAAGTTTGGTGGATTGGAACACCCAAAGCACAAAAGACAAATGATCATTTATTTTACCATTGTCAGTAATTCTGTCTCAACCTAAGCAGAGTAGCAAGCTAGAAACTGTTTTTGAAAAGGCAGTTTGCCAGAAACAGACTTGCAGGCATAGTAAACAATCTTATGGTTACTGGGGGAAAGAGGGTGGGAAGGGATAAATTGCAAATATTAACCACTATAATGTAAAAATACATTAAAAATTTTCTTCTGTATAGCACAAGGAACTACATTCAATATCTTTAATAACCTTTAATGAAAAAGAGAGTATGAAAATGAATATATGTATATATAGGCATGACTGGGACATTATGCTGCACACCAGAAATTGACACATTGTAACTGACTATACTTCAACTTAAAAAAAAACAGATGAATGGGTCCAGTATCAGAGTAGAAATAACAGAGAAATCTATACCATGTTACCAGAAGTCATATGCGGTTAACCACATCTGATCAATAAAATACTTAATTAAAAAAAGAATAAAAGAGGAAGTTTGCCATTTTCTTAAAAGAAAATGGATTTTCTGTAAAACCCTTAGGACTGGGTTTGTTTTTCTTCCCTTGGAGTTGGCAGAATTTCCCTTCATTATCCCCATCTATCACAGATCTTTTAGACACAATTGGATCTCTGTAACCTTAAGACCCAAGACTCAGCATGAATCTGCTGCCAAAAAAAAAAAAAAAAAAGAACAAAACAATTTAGCACTATTATGGGTTATTTAGCAAATATGTCAATTACCTATTAGTAAGTATTGTTTATAGAAGTCAGATGAGCCCATCAAGTGCTGTGTTTCTTAGTTTTTGAAGGGTACAAGATACAGCAACTGCTCTTCCCTTTGGAGTGAATAACCATTCATGCCTTGGACCATTATTCCCCTAGAAACTTCATTAAGTTAGCAGGTTCCTGAATTTTCATGGGGATTATCTCCTACCCTCTGATATTCATGTGTCTCATCAAGTCATCAACTGTATTAGCTAATTTCTGCTCACCAGGTTGGATTAATATGATACTGTTTTAGTAGAACAGTAATAGGAATGTGATCAAGGTCCCTGTGAGCTAGATTATGAAACAGAGCTGAAGAACTGACATAGTTTGACAGGGTCCTGCGGTAGAGGAATGAAGATATGCTACTGTCTCTGCACAGAGAAAGCAAACTGGCTCTTGTAGACTTTGTTCACATGCAAATAGATATTTTTTTAGACAGAGACCTATATGCCAGGTTTCTGAGGCTCTGCTGATTTATTCTTGTAAAAGTACTTCTGGAAGAGCAGTCAATGGAATTAATACCTGATTTTGACTTAAAATAAGACCCCGCCATTCTCAAAGACCTGTCTTCCTCCCCACTCCGCTTGAGTTTGGACGCATGTAAACACCCATGATAGCAACACAGTCAAGGTAATAGACATATCCAACACTTCCCAGAGTTTCCTTGTGTCCCTTTGCTTTTGTTTTATTTTGTTTTCTGGTACTAACACATGAGCTCTACCCTCTTAAATTCTGCAGTGCACAATACCATAATGTTAACTCCCGGCACTAGGTTGCAGAGCCGATCTCTAGAACGTCTTCATCTAGCACAACTGAAACTTTATAAACGTTAAATAGCAACTCCCTGTTTCCCCACTTCCTAGCCCCTGGCAACCAAGACTGCATTCTCTGCTTCTAACTATTTTAGACATTTCATTGATGTGAATCATGCCGTCTTTTTCTTTCTATGACTGGCTTATTTCACTTCACCTAATATCCTCTATGTCCATGCATGTTGTCACAAATGATAGGATTTCCTTCTTTGTAAAGGCTAAATAATATTCCATCATGTGCATGTGTATAGAAGTATATATACATATATATACATATAAATAAGTTAGAGGATAGTGAAAGGCTTTGCATCTGCTGAAGTCCATATATCTGCCCACCATTACCGGGGGAGCAAAGTACAGTTTCTGCTTCTCCAAATCTCTTTCCAAATCTTTCCAAATCTCATGTCACTGCCTCTCATGGTTGATCTAGCCTAGAGCAGAGTAAATTTCTTGATTTCCAGCCCTTGTTATCAGGGAAAGTATAGACAAGGGTGAGAATGATGCTAATCCATTACTAGGCAAACTGACACAGTTGTTAAGAGAATGAGCCACACTACTTGGGTTCAGATTCTGGTTCTACCACCTGCCAGTTGTGCGACCTTGGACAGGCCACCTAACTTCTCTGTGACTTGGCTGTGCTAGCTATGAAATATAGAAAATCTCCCTTCCTCAAAGAAATGTTGAGAGTTAATGCACACAGACTGTGTATAACCATACCTGGCATATAGTAAGTCTCCATGTGTTCAGGAATAATTATTATTAAAATGTAAATGGAGAATATGGTTTTTACCAAGATCCAAATAAAATGGTTAGGCATCAAATAATCTATTTGTAACTGTGTGGTACCTGAGGATTTTTTTTTTAGGTATTCCTTTGCACATGAGACATAATAATTTAACATCTCTAGGTGTACTTTATGTTTAAGGCAACATATTCTAGCAGCTAGTGTAAGTGTAAATAGCAATGCTATTAGGTAAGGGAGGCATCACTATCTGAAGACTCAGGGTAATACATTTTAATCATTATTTTTTACTTTTTCATGAAGCCCAAGGAACATTTTTTAATGTTTTTAGCACTTATCTCTTTTCTAGATAAGATCACAAATGTGTTTGTTTAATATGTCCATCTTAGGAATCTTTAAATAATTAAAACACCTTCAAAGTTTTGCTCTCTACCCACAAGGTAATAAAATAAAAACTAATGATCTTACAATTTAAATTTCTCTAGAATATTTCTCCAGAAACATTGATTGCAAAGTAATCAATGACATATTTTATAAGCTGAGTTTATAGTTTCTTTATGTTTTAAATCCCTTCAAGAGTAAACATACTGTAATAGATTGCCCCCCCCCCCCGCCAAAAAGTTGCAAGTCTTTATCCTTCCCTGTAACTATGCACTTCCCATGTGAACTTGTAGACTCTCTCATAAGGAGATGGAGACTTTCCCTACCCCCTGAATCTAGGCTGTGCTTGTGATTTTCTGTTAACAGGAAGATAGTATTCCAGGACTTGAGGCTTTGTGACCTGGACTCTCTCTTGCTCCTGTCTTTATCATGAGAACATGCCCATGCTCCAGCTAGCCCGCAGGATGTGACTTACAGAGACACCTGCAGGTAGAACTGACTCAGCCCGGTGGTCCCAGCTGAAGCCTCAGACACTTCAGAAAGCTCAGTTGATAACAGCAAAGCCAACCTATAGCTGTTCATAGATGTGTGGGTGAGACTTACCATGCCCAGTTCAGATTAGCAGAATTTCCAATGGCCTTTAGAAGGAAAACAAAATTATTACAGGCCTCTAAAGTTGCATGGTTGTTTGTTACATAGCATTCTTGTAGCAATCGGTAAGTAGACAAGACACAAAGATTAAAAAACTGAACAGTATGCATATTTAAATTCAAAAGATATTTTTGTTTAGCAAAATCAGGAAAGCAGCATTCCCATGCATTTGATTCTTTTTCTACATATACGATGCAAAGATTTCAAAAAACCTATTTTAGGGAAAATTTGGAATATTTGCTTTTATAACCAAAAGCATGCTTGAATTTCTTATTCTTCCAAGAATCTGTTGACACCACAAACAAGTCAAAGGAACTTGTTCCTTCTTTAAATTTTACACTCTACGTGTACTTGCTGCCTATGTTGAAATAAACAAGGCAATTTGAAGAAACAAATGGTTTCTCTTCAGTTTTGCTGTGCAGCAGCGAAGTCAGCCTCTAAAGAAATTGCTTTGAAGCAACTAAGTGTAAAAATGTTAAGTATTTTGGGAGGTGTGGAATAATCTGAAGATAAGTAAGAGAAAAGTTATGAGTGTAAAGCAATACAGTTCAAGCATTCAATATGAACATTTTCAAAACAAAATATTAGTTGACATAAATAAAAATAAAATCATCTGCTTGAGAAAGCTGACAGTGGTTATTTCTCAGTAACTCCACTTTCACTCAAGAGTGAGTGAAGTTTTCCAGCTGAGGGAAATAGGACATGGGAAAAATCTTAATGAGAAGAGGAGATTCAACTTAGTTCAGGAAAATCTAGTCTTTTACCTACAATGTGTTAGTCACCCTACTAGGTGTTGAGGGTGCAGTCTTAGGCAAAGGAAATGACTGAATCTATGTGAAAAGAAGAATAAAAGCATATGTAGGATCTGAGTCATAAAATTTGTCCATGTGATCAGAGAAAGAGTCAGGGAGAAGTAACTGACTGGGTCTCAATTTATGTTTATATTTTACCAGATGGGGAAAAAGGGGGGCATAAAAAGGAATTGCATATACAAAGGCATGGAGATGTGGATAAGTGACTCACAATGGGAAAACTCCATCCACCAGGAGCATAGGCACTCTGGGACGGAAGAGGATGGAGATAAAATGTAATAGTAATAATGGGTATGTTAGTTATCTACTGCTGCGGACAAATTATCTCAAAACTTAGTGGCTTAAAGCATTTATCTGACAGTTTCTGTGGGTCAGGAACCGGGTATGCCATGTCCTCTGACTCCCAATCCCTCCCACGCTGGCGATAAAGGTCAGTGCCCGAGCTGTGCCATCTGGCGGCACAGCAGGGGAAGAATCTGCTTCCAAGCCCACTCACAAGGTAGTTGGAAAGATCTAGTTTCTTGTGGGCTCTTGGCCTGAGGCCCCCCACCCCCCTGTTCCTTGCTGCTCTCTCTAGGCAGCTTACAACTTGTCGGCTTGCTTCATCAGAATAAGCAAGGAAGGGCCAGAGAAAGAGCACAAGCAACACTGAAGCCACGGTCCTCTGTACCCTAATCTCAGAAGTGACTTCCGTGACTTTTGTCATATTCTATCCATTAAGAGCAAGTCACTAGGTCTGGCACCTATTCAAGGAAGACAGTGGGCAGGTTACACAAGGGCATAGATACTAGGAGGCAGAGGTCCCCAGGAGCTATTTTAGAAAGAGTAATTTCATCCATCAGAAGTACCGGTGCTTGAGAAATGGGTGATAAAGAAAAATAAAATTGATGATATAGGCAAATTACGGGGGATATTTATCACCCCAGTGGAATGACAGAGTTTTCATAGGAGCGTTATACCGATCCCTGTGCTTGAGACTAAGAAATACTGATGCTCATCACTAGAGACATCTAGGAATAAAAGGGTGTCAGTGCCTCAGCAAAGGCTCACGGCTTGCAGACGAGCAGAGCACTCGCCCACAGCGGGGGACTCTGGTTCCCTGCTCCTGCCCCACAGCTGTACAGTGCCTGGAGAAATGCCCACAGCCTCGCCCCACTTGCCAGACACGAACAGGGACATGAGCAGGCAGATGACAGAGGGCAAGGCCAATTCATTTAAGGGCGTCAGTGGTCAGAGAGAGGAACCTAAAACAAAACCACCAGCACAGGCAACTCAGAGAAAAACAGCACTACTGGACATGACACAGACAATTTGCACAAAAACAATATCAAGAACATTTAAAAATTTTAAGTCAGCGCATAAAAAAAGACTGCAAAAAAATCATTCTCTTGGAATTAAATCATTCTGTAGGCAAGTGAAAAGAGCTAATGTTAGTAATTGAGAATTGAATCTGTGACCCAGAACATCAAGTTAAAGAAATAGTTCATTAAAAAAAAATCAGAGGGGAGGGTGTAGCTCAAAGTAGCAGAGCACAAGCTTAGCATGCATGGGGTCCTGGGTTCCATCCCCAGCACCTTCTCTAAAAAAAAAAGTAAATAAATAAATAAACCTAATTACCTCCCGCCCCTACCCCCCAAAAACCTAAAAATCTAAAAAATCAGAGGGATAAAATATGAGGGGAAAATAATGGATACCTAAAATGCAAATAGTATTATTCTAGAAGGATAAAAAGAATGGAGAAATAATAAGCAATTATTAAATAAATAAGAGAGAAATATGTCCTTGGTCTGAAGAAAGCTGTCTTCCCCGACAACTTAAGAGGAATAAACATCCAATATTAATGATTTTAAAGAAACTGCTAGTCATGTGTTAACATAAATATTTAATTCTGACAAAAATGATTTCTCATCCTATTATAACATAAATAATAAAAATTAACCAATTTACCCAAGGAGATAGCACATTTTCCTCTAGTGCACTCCACTCCAGCCAACGTGGTCTGTTTGCTATTCACTGAACCCATCCCACCACCATTCACAGTCTCAATTCCTTCTGCTGGGAGCAGCCTCCCCCAGTGATAGATGAACTCCGCAGTTTGTACTGGAGAACAAAACAGCGTGCTATAATAATTACACAGAGACAGCAGCTGGATTCTGGAACCATTCCAAGCAAACCTAGTCCTAAGTTCGCCCTACCCGATCTCCAGAAGGCTCACCATTGCACTGCCTTCAGAATCTGCTCAAGTCTCAGCTCATCCGCCAGCCCCCTGCTGACCATATGTGAAACAGCAATCACCACTACCCTGCAATTCCTACCCCCCTTACCTGACTTAATATTTCGCCTTGCATATTATGCATTTACTTATTATCTCTCCCCACCTCTGAGAGTATTTGGTTTACTGCTGTATCCCCAGTGTGTAGATCAGAGAGGGACACATGGCAGGCATTTAACAAACACACACAGAATGAATCAATTAACAAACGAGTATAAATGAACAAAGTAGAAAACTCAAGTAGACCGATTTCATTGGAAGAAAGTTGGGTCTAGCTGACACAGCGTACAGCGGTGGTTAAGTCTAATTTTCTGGAATTTGACAGCCTCAGCTTCATGTGTGACTCTTCCTTGATTAGCTGCCTGTCTTTGGACACATACTATTTCATTTATTTTCAAATTTCCTCAGTTTTGACATTGGGATGGTAAGTACAGCTTCTAACTAATAAGGAACATCATAAGGACTGAGTGTCACAATAAGAGTAAAGCACATAGGTCAGGGAGTGGCATAAAAGTACTCTATTATTTTTTTGCTCTTTTGAAGAATAAATAATATCAAGGCTATTTAAGCTATTCTAATAAGGAAAGCAAAGAATAGCCTAACACTAATGCTATGACTTGTGAAGATTACCTAAATCTCACGTTTGACTAATCTCATTTACGACTACAGATTTTTTTTTCTAGAAATCTGAAGATTGTGTGTGTCAAAAGAACAACGGAGTCTGACCTATAAAAGAACACCCTATGAATGCAAAGGTAGTTAATAGTCAATTATCAAAATGAGTCATTATAGTAACACAACCAACAATTTTGAAAACTAATTTTATCATGGCATACTAAAAGGCACTTCATAAAATTTGAGTCTTTCCTAATCAATGTGCTAAAAAATGAAGGAATAAATAAAAATTATGTAACTACAATAGTCTTCACCAAAGTCCAACTGAAAAAAAATTGTAAGAAGTGGATTATTTAAGCCATTTTTATTAAAATAGGAATAAGGGACCACTGCAGGTGTTATATCTATTATTCAACATGAAAGTTCCAAAGCATTTGCAGTAAGACAAGAAAATAAACAATGCTGATGAAAGACGTAATATAGTCAAAAAGCCTTTCCACAGACTGGAGGAAAACTTTTGGATTGGAAACCCCAACTTTTGGAGGTAGATATTTAATGTACAGAATATTTCTATAAATTAATAAAGAAATGACAATCAATTCAATAGAAATATTGCTTGAGATGTAAATAGGTAGTTCACAGCAAAATTAATCTAAATAGGCAAACACCGTATGGAAATATGTTCAACCTCGCAATAAAGAACTAGAAATTAAATTAAAAATTAGGTAATACTTTTCATATAGCATATTGGTAAAGATCAGAAGGGGTGAACATACTCATTTCCCTTAATAACAGCTGACATTATGAAGCACTGATTACATGCTCAGTGCTGTTCTCATGCTCCACATATATGAACCCACTTATTCTTCATAACAAGTAGATGACTTAGGTACTGTTAGTACCATTCCCGTTTCACACCTGGTTGATCTGAGTTTTAGTAATTTGCTCAAAGGCACAGAGTTAAAAAGCTGCAAAGCTAGAATGTGAACCCAAGCAGCCTGGCTCCAGAGACTGTGGCTTTAACCACTGTGTCAAACTGCCTCACTGCTGTCAGCAGCAAAGCTAAGGGGCCTTCCTCATGTACTACTCATTGAAATGGGAATTAAGGACCCTTTAGAGGGTAATCACACACTATCTATTGAAATCAAAATGATATGTATTCTTTGGCCCCACATTTTACTCCAAGGAATCCATTCCCTAGGGAAACACAACACAAGAATGTAAGGATATGCATCCAAGACTGTGGATTACAACGTGTAGTTCTAAGGAACAGAGGTAATGTCAATGCATAACAACAGAATGGTGATTGAGAAACCAATTGTATGCTTGTAATGGACCTTGTGATTGCTTCCTTAATAGTCATATCCGTTTTCCTAGAAACAACTTTATTTTTATTTGGCAATTTTCCCTGTCTATACCTCCCTCGATCCAGGCCACTAGTCTATGCTCTTTGAAAGATGGTGACAGTTTCAAGCAGGAGATGTATAATTGAGGCCTCTTCAGTACTATGAATTAGAACTTTCTGCAATGATGGAAATGTCCAATATAGTAGCCAGCAGCCAGTAAGCTACTGAGTGCTTGAAATGCGGCTAGTGTGACTAAGAAAATTTAATTATTTTATTTAATTAAAGTAGCCACAAGTGGCTAGCGTCTACCATATTAGCTGATCAGTGTAATATCATCGCCTGACCACAGTCATGAGCTCAAGGATCATCATATTACTGATTCAAATCAACGAGACTAATGGAGTTTTCCTGAGATCTTCTGGGAAAGAAGTTTTCTGTCTCTTTTGAGCAGATGCTTTTGATAAACCCTTTCTCCCTGGATGTAGATGTGAGGAGTAACTGAGAGCCACACTGGAAACGTGAAAGGTAGCCATCCTTAGAATAAGTAGACATGATGGAAGACACCTGCAGACAGACAGAAACAAACCAGTTTCTTTTTGATGCTAAGCTAGTAAATAACCAACTCTGATGTTGCTCCTACTTCTTTTTTTTTAACATTTTTTATTGATTTATAATCATTTTATCCTACTTCTGTATTTTCCAGTAACATATGCCTTAAATCACTCTCAGTGTTAAACACAACTGAAATGGGTCTCCTCTTGAATTGGAGTATATCTGCAACGTGGAATAGACTGTATCAATTAAAATACAATTTATAGCTATTTCAGTTTAACTGGAATTAGTTCTAAGAAATATCTTAAAGGCAAAAAAGATGCAAAATAGATTATATGATGTCACATTTAAGTGAATGATTCAAAAAAATCCCTGTAAGTGAGAGATTACAGACAAGCAAGGAGAGAGAGTCTAGAATGGTGCATATGGTGATAGATTAGTGGAGACATCACTATGAATTCACATTTAGCTAAATAAAGACAAGCATGGCTACATGTAGAAACGTTTACAGACGTGTGTATACACAGGGGTTAGTGTGCGTATATATATTTCCTTGCTCCGACAGCTAAGAGGGCTTGGACCATCTGTTCTTTCCCTCCCCCAGTAGCAATGAGTGCGCACGGGTCCAGCGCTTGGCTTCTAACACCATTCTCTAATAACCAGGGCTCCTCAGAGAAGAGGCTGATTATAGGCCTGGGGCAAGAAATCACACAAGGTGAGCCTGAAGCACCTCACAGTGCCAAAAGTAAGTACATACCCCCCCCATCCGAAAAAGGGCAGGGGGTACATATTATAGGAAATAACTTCAAGAGCTCCCAATGGCCAAAACTGAAATAATCGGGGCAAAAAAAATAAATGAGTCTGTATTGAATTATAACTCAAAATCTAAGACAGACACTTAAGAGTCCATCTTAATAGAAACAAACAACTGAATAAATAAATAAACAGGAAAGAAGAGACAGCTTCCTCATGCAGGAGAGTTCCAAATGATTTATATAGCTGGCTACTTCATCTTCAAGGAGCTGGAGCATAAAGCCCTACTCCTTAAGAGTGGACTAAGCATGATAACTTCCTTCCAAAGAGTACACTGCGAAAAGGAGACGGGGCAGAAAGGGTAACTTGATGGTGGAGAAACCTGAGCAACACTACCTCAGTCAGATGATTAGAGTCAATGTCAAAAGTGACAGTCATACTAATGGTGGATGCCTTTGATGATGATGTGATGAGAATGACAATTTGTTTCTGTGGTTCATCCCCCAAGCCCATAACCCCAATTTAATCATGAGGAAAACATGACATAAACATCATTTTGAGGGACATTCTAAAAAATACGTGACCAGTACTGTTCAAAACTCTCGAGGTTATCAAAAACAATGAAAATCTGAAAAACTGTTACATCCAAGAGAGCCCTAAGGAAGTGTGACTGTTAACTGTATTGTGGTATTGTGAGCGGGATTCTGGAACAGAAAAGGACATTAGGTACAAACAAAGGAAATATGAATATTAGTTAAATAATAATGCATCAGTCTTGGTCCAGGAATTTTAACAAATGTACCATACTGATATAAAACATCAATAGGTAAAACTGAGTTTGGAGTAAATGGGAACTCTCTGCACTAACCTCTTAATTTTTCTATAAATCTAAAACTATTCTAAAATAAAATGTTTATTTAAAACTTACACACAAACACACACACATGTATATGTGTATATGTTACTACAGAATCAAAGATGGAGAAAGTTTCGAAGTGACGCACAGTAGTCTCACACAGCTGGTAATAATGGTCGAGGGAGTGAGAATTGGGAAGGAAGTAGAGGAGAAAAGACTGTAGCCACACGGAAAATATCCAATGCATAAACTAATCAGGCAGTGGAATACAAAATATATCAATGATATTGTAAATATATAACCATTAAATACACTTGTGAATGAAAATAAAGTTTCACGAATAAATGACAATATTGATAAAATCTTAGGACGAGTCAAGGAGGTTCTTTTTTATTTCTGTTATTTTTATGCAGTACCTGTCGTAAAATATTAGAGGCAAATAATGTTGAAACTTGATGAGAAAAACAATTCTGGACATCCTCCACAGAAATTATGATTCAATAGATTTGGCGTTACTTCTCCAAGAATTTGCATTTTTTTTTTTACACAACCTCCCCACCCCAGTGTTTCTCATAAGCTAACATGTTTCAGACACTTGAATGCAATACATGTCAAAACTGTTTGGCAATCTCACCCAGCAGAGGCTGTGGATTCATGGGGAAGAGCGCCGTTAACTGCTAAGATCAGAGGGTCATGCAGGAACTGACATTTCATCAAATTTTAAAGACTGAGTTGCAGCCTGTGGCTGTGAGAAAGAGCGCATCCTAAAAAGAGCAGACAGCACAGCCAAGGTGGGAAGGAATGAATGAAATACTCTGTGTTTGGAAATAGCAAAAGGGCCACCGAGGCTAGAGGGCCTACGTCTAGAAAGATAGGTAAATGCCAAATGCAGCAAGTCATCAAATGCTTCTCTGTGAGACTTTTTCCTTCAGTTTATCACCAACTTATTTTTGTATTTTAAAGAATGAAATAACCTAATTTCATCTATGTCTTGGAAAAAAAATACTCTGAAGAGACTGACTGCAAGAGGAAAGAAAATTGGGTAAAAGATCATTATTTTGTATATATATTTAGGAAAAGCTCATTATTTTCTTCCTTATAACCAAACTTATATTCTAATAAAACTGATTTTACATATTCATTTATATTTCATTTTAAGAAAACTGCACACGAACTACCCCCCGCAACAAGCACGTACCCCCAAAATGAATCTTAAGCATCAAATGTGTTAGACCAGATAAGAAGTCAAGATTCAGACTGAAAAGAAGCCATTGGCTTTGACTGTTAGGAAGTGGCCTTAGCAAGTACAGATGCATTGAAAAGTGGAGACAGGAGCCACTATGACTAAAGACAGAAAGTAGTCTTTAGGAAAATTGTTAAGTGAGTGCTAGACAAAAAGGCAGGCTTGAGAGTGATCAAGTCATTTTAGCATAAATACAACCTAATGTACCCAAGCCATGACAGAGGGAGAGTCATCCAGGGAAAAGGATCACTCATCACTCACTTTTGCTGCTCTCTTAGATGGTAGGTCCATGATGTAATCATAAACGGTAATTAAAGAAGCCGTATGCACTGTCAGCAAAACATATTTAAAATGTCTGTTCAATGTTGCTGCCTACAGCAAACAGAATTTCAAGAAAGTGTAAATATTGCCCTTCTAATTACAAAGTAATAAATTACCTAAGTGGAATCTTGTATTTTCTTCAAAATGAGAAAGTGTTTTCTCCACCCCCACGTTATCTAGTAATGACTTGCCCAGGTATGTAGGACAAAATGTTTTTTAAAAATAATCATCTTTTTTACATGTCTCTAGATTTCCATTATTCACCTCTATGTGCATCCTCATATTCATTCTATTTAAAAATACTCCTTTCCTACAGACTCACAGACATAGAAACAAACATATATTCACTGAAGGGGAAAGGGGAGAGAGAGAAATTAGGAGTTTGAGATTAGCAGATACAAACTACTATATATAAGATAGATAAACAAGGTCGCACTGTATAGCACTGGGAATGACATTCAACATCTTGTAATAAAGTATAATGGAAAAGAATCTGAAAAAGAATACATATACATATATACACACACATACACATATATATACACACACACACATATATATATAAAATCTGAATCAATTTGCTGTAAACCAGAAATTAATACAATATTGTAAATCAACTATACTTCGATAAAAACATTTTTTTAAAAATACTTCTTCCCTGAGTTCCTTTCTTCCAGGCTTTTACCAATGTAACCCAGGTACTTGACACTGAATATATTATGTTTCCGTTCGCAGCATAAACTACTATTAGGAAAACACCTGCTCCCTATATAACATATTATAGAAATACTTTGAGCACACCTACCACCTCTTCCAGGGGCTGTGGTGGGCTAGGTAAATGGACAATTTACTGCTAAATCTAATAAAAGGTAGAATTACATATAAAGAGAAGGAACACTCAACCACTCTCCTAATCACCACACTCACATAACTGAGGTCTCTTGTGACCTCTTTCCAAATGACCTTTAATGAGGGAGCACACATTAACATTCTGTCCATGATTTCAGTCCTGGAGCAAATGAAGTTCTTTTAAAAGGAGGTAGAATATTAATTAGCACCCTAAATGTCATTCATTTTGCCAGTCTTTAACACTCAATCTGGAAGTACTGCAGAGCTTGATAGGCACCCACTTACAACCTTCACTGCAGGAGCTCACTGCTCAGATAAGGGCTCCATCTGGAACCAGCATTTCTCTTGGCACAGATGTGTCCTGATTTCTAATGCAAACTCTCCCTGAGGCTTTAATTTTCACTTCATTCCGTTTGCCTGTTTTGCTATGGCAGTTTTTCACACATTTTAGCTCTAAGGGAGCCAGTATTAAATGACGTATTCTTATAAAAAATAGATTTGCCTAGAGGATATTTCAGTCAGATAAAGTGAGTGTAAATTAGGTTTAGTTTTCAATCTCAATTTCAATCTCTGGATTTTAAAGGTCATTTATATTGTGTGTATGTGTTGGGGTGATATGGTGGTGACATTTCCTCTTTTCTTTATAGAACCATTCATGTATTAAAAATAAAAAGTGCATAAAACTTGGGAAAATAATGGTATCTGATCCTTATAAAAGTATAATTGATGTATTGTCTCTTAATGTTTGTTCCACAGGACATGTCATAATTTATCAGACATAAATGATCATGTTTTAGTTTTTTGAAGTTCTTCCGTAATGGGCGGTCTTATCCATCATTCAAACATAATTTTAAAAAGCATGCTTTTATTTCTTAATTGTAGCTAATTTGTAATAAAAGTTGATCATGTTGACTCACTGGCTGTATGCTTTATTTTAGAGTGAGAATTTGCATGCATAATACCACTAACAGGTTTTAAAAGGCTATCATCCAAACAGTAGTACATGAACGCATACAATATTTTTCCCCCCAGGAACTCAAGAAACAAAGGTAAATAAAATCGAATCATTTCTCTTCCATTCTCTTTTTTTAAACATTTTGTCTTGAGTTAACTGTAGATTCACACACAGTTATTAGAAATAATACAGAGAGATACTGTTCACCAAGTTTCCCAAAATGTAACATCTTACATAACTATAGTATAAAACTGCAACCATTGGAATTGCTCAGATTTTACCAGTTTTATGTACTCTTCTGTGTGTTTACACATTTAGTTATATGCAATTTTATAATATGTGCAGATTTGTTTGACCACCACAACTGTCAGAATACTGAACAATTTCATCACAAGGATCCCTCACGCTACCCATCCATAGCAACAGCCACCTCCCACTCTCCAGCCTCCTTAAGCCCTGGGAACCACTAATATAGTCTCCATTTCTAGAATTTTGTGATCTCTATAATGTTATATAAAAAAATCATATAACATGAAAATTTTTGAGATTGATCTTTTCTGCTTAGCATAATTCTATTAAATTGCTTCCGCATATTTGTCAAAAAACAGTTGGACATGTTTGTGTGGGTCTGTTTCTGGGTTCTCTATTCTGTTCCACTGATGTATGTATCTATCCCCACACTGATCTACACATTTATTGCATTTCTATTAAAATCCACACAAGGATTTTTTGTGGACATAGGCAACTTTATTCTAACCTTTACATGGA